GTCCATGAAGCCCTTGAGATGATCGTGTACATCATATGTGCATTTTTCTGGGAGGAGAGTTCAGTTTTCATCATTCTCAAAGGAGTTCACAACGTGAAGAACAAAGTTCACTATTTATCAATTTTTTTCGCTTTCTTTTTTTTTTTGAGATGGAATTTCACTCTTATCACCCAGGCTGGAGTGCTGTGGCACAATCACAGCTCACTGCAACCTCCACCTCCTCGGTTCAAGCCATCTTCCTGCCTCTACCTCCCAAGTAGCTGGGATTACAGGCATGCACCACCACACCTGGCTAATTTTTTGTATTTAGTAAAAACAGGGTTTCACCATGTTGGTCAGGCTGGTCTCAAACTCCTGACCTCAGGTAGTCCACCCGCCTTTGCTCCCAAAGTGCTGGGATTATAGGCTTGAGCCACCATGCCCGGCCTAATTATCAAAATTTGAATACTGGACTTAAACTTCAATTGTTATAGATACAACTTATTCAGACAGGAGGCTGAAGCACTTTCTAAAACAAGGCACACCTTATTTAGCAGGACTGAGCCCTAAGCCAGGTAGAAGGCCCAGCAAGATAGATATAGTCTTGCCTCAGAAAGTTCCACAGAGAAAGAACAACAGTCCCCAGAGATGTTGCCAAATGGTATGAAAATCTAGCCGGGCTTGGGAACTGACTCACACAGAGATGCAACAAGCCAGTGTGAGGTGTCTCTGATTACAGGATAAAAAGGTTCACACGGTTCTGTTTGTCTTCTGCCTCCCCCCATATATCACAACTTTCTCTGACAGGGGAAGGGTAAGTGGGAAATCACTGGTATAAAAAAAGAGAAGTACCTCTCAGAGAAAAGAAAGAATTACCAGAAACAGGCTGCGCCCATCACACTCTGAGCAGGTAAAACGGAGGGAAAGTGAGCATCCTGTGGTCTGGGTCACTCTAGGCATTTTCCTCTGACTCATCAAACATTCCCAAGTCACAGGGCACCAGGATGCTGGCAAGGGTACAGGGCTCTGACTCCACCATGTCCCCTTTTGGGATGCAGGTGCCTCCTAAGCTCCTTCAAGGGGGTGGGCATAGTTCAACCCAGGGCTGGCTGGTCTGATTTTTTTTTTTTTTTTTTTCTTTTCTATCCATGGAATCACGGAATGGTGTGATTTTCAATACTCACGGAACAAAAGAGAGAGAAGCCATTTGAGGAGCCCAGAGGTTGGAAGAGAGACAGAATGCAATGAGCAAGGGGTGGGGAGGGTGGAGTAGAAAGAACCTTGAATTAGGAGACCTCTGCCTTCAGGGGTGACTCAAACCAACAGGCATTCGAGAGAGGCAAGGGACTGACTTTAAGGACCCAAACAGTGCCAGGAACTGTCAGGCATCTGACAAACGTCACCTGTTTAATTTTACCTCTGGGGCCTCAGTTTCTCACCTGGAACCTGATCGGTTCTGGAACATACTGGAAACCTGCATGATGGTAGTTAATCCTATTAACTTTGGAGTCAAGACTCCTTCCCTGGAATTGCCATCTCTGTTACTTACAGAGTTGTGATTTCGGGCAAGTTACTTAACCTTTCTGTGCCCCACTTTACCTACCTGTGAAATGTGGACAGTAGTAGATTGTACCGCACAGAATTTTATTAAATAAGGTAGAAAAGGCGCAGAGTCTAACACGTAGTAAGGTTGTAGACGTTCAATAGATGACAATTATTTTTGTTTGGGGATCCTCCCAGCTACTAACGTCACAACTCTGGGAATGGGTTCAAGAATCACCCCTAGGCCCCACCGGTCGTCCCACCCCCAATTCCCAGCTGACAGCAACCTCCCGGCCCTCCCCCAAGGCCCACCCACCTTCCTTCAACCCCGCCCCCAGCCGTTCCCCTCCAACCTCACTCCATCAGTGCTCCCTCTTCAGGGGCTTATTCCCCGCCGCCCGCCGCCCGCCGCCCGCTTCCTCGACACCCGAACTTAGGTCCTCCAGGATTCTTCCGCAGTGTTTTCACCTTTCGGTGTTGTTGACGATCACTCCACCGCCCTCCGAGTGATTCTTGTTGAGCGCCATAGTCTCTCCGACAGGGGTCCCGAGACTCACAACGCAGTGCGCTTGCGCTCGTCTTCGGCCCGCCCCTAGTGGCGTCTTGTTATTAGAGTCAGCCAATCACAGCTCCAGCGCGGAGGCTGGCCCAACCACCTGACCCGAGCGTCACGTGGTAACAGTTTACTCCCTCTCCCTTCCCCCGTTCCGCCTGCGTAACAAACAAGATGAAGACTACAATTCCCAGCAGGCAACTCTCCCGAAACCTCGGCCTCCTCCTATGCTGGAGGAAGGAGATGCATTCTGGAACTTGTAGTCTCCTGGACCATAGGCCGGAATTTGCTCCATAATTTGCATAACCAATCGGCTTGTGCCATCCCACCTCGCCTCCTTAGCGGGACCTAAGTAAACAGCCTTCTGGCAGGGGCGCAATCCTGGGGGTATGCTCGCGCGTCCGGGAAGTTTAGTCGGCTGAGTGCGAGCTGGACATGTTGTGGGATCCCCGAGCAGTCCTCTGATAGATGGGGCGCCTTCGTTCACTCAGCAGACGTTTATGGGGCGCTTGTGTGACTCGGGCGTTTAGCTGAGTCCGAGGCCCCGCCTCTTGGGGACGCGGTGGGCTGGCGGCGTCGGATCACCCCGTCATCCGTCTCACCAATCCCAGCCCAGAGCCCGGGGGACAGGGAGAGTCCCACGACGGGAGGGGAGGTCGGGTGCGCCCCGTCTGGATCCCACCACGTTCGCCAGCCGGCCGGGCGCCCCTTGCAGCCTCCGCGCCGGCCTCGCGGTGGCGCTGTTCCCTCAAGGGCGCCCAGCGGGGGCCCGGCCGGAAGATTGAAGGCTGAGTGGGACTGGGCACGGCGCGAGACCGGCAGCCTCATAACTAGGACTTACAGAATAGGGCTGACTCATGCCAGCTCGTGACCCAGCCCTGGGCATCCTCCACGGGGCAGCTGTCATTCCCTAACCGCCCCCAACAAACCTCCGCACTTCCAAGCTGAATCCGTGAGGCGGAAAGAGGGGGCTGCACTCCCAACGTGGTGGTTCCGCTACTCGTTAACCTTAAGGATCAGAGTTTGCTTTTCTGCAGACAGATGCTTTCCTGACCCGCGGGGGCCAACCTCGCGATCTACCTACTTGACTTCTTTTTCTAGGGAGGTCTCCTATGTGAAGGAACAAAACTGCCTCACTAGAAAAGATCAGGAAACAGCAGCCTTCTGCGAGGTCCTGTGCAAGACTAGGTTGGACCTTGCAGGACAAGTACAGTGGATTAAGGATGGTGATAATGAGACCTGCCCCAATGGTTAGATGTTTTTTGGCACCTGCAGTCTCTGCAGTCTTTAAAAAGAATGAAGTCAGACTATGTCCTGATATGGAAAGACTATCAAAGGTTATTAAGCACAGAATGCTGAATAAATATAGTATACAAAACGCTGTATAAATATGAATATAGTATAAATATAGTATACTGTGTAAATATACAGAATGCTGTATACAAACAGGCTGGGTGTGATGGCTCACGCACTTTGGGAGGCTGAGGTGGGCGGATCACCTGAAGTCGGGAGTTTGAGACCAGCCTGACCAGCATGGAAAAACTCCGTCTCTACTAAACATACAAAATTAGCCGGGCATGGTGGCACTTGCCTGTAATCCCAGCTACTCGAGAGACTGAGGCAGGAGAATCACTTGAACCTGGGAGGCAGAGGTTTCAGTGAGCCAAGATTGCCCCAGTGGGCTCCAGCCTGCGGGACAAAGGAAGACTCTGTCTCAAAGAAAAAAAAAAAAGGAAAATCCCCCCAGCAAAGGGTATATAGCATTGGCTGTTCTAAGGACCATAGATGGGAAGATGTCCCCTGCCCACCCCACTCCCACTCCTTTGCCAAATAGGTTGGAGGTATAAGCAGGTTCACGTTTTGCCAAGCTTTGAAGCTGATACAATTTTGGAGGCTCTTTTGGTTGTTGATGTATTTGTTTTTGCGACAGGGTTTCACTCTGTCACCCAGGTGCAATCATAGCTCACTGCCTCCACAGAACTCCCGGACTCAAGTGATCTGGAGACTTTTTTTAAGAAATAAAATACACAGGCCAGGCACGGTGGCTCACACCTATAATCCCAGCACTTTGGGAGGCTGAGGTGGGCAGATCACCTGAGATCAGGAGTTTGAGACTAGCCTGGCCAACATGGTGAAACCCCGTCTCTACTAAAAACACAAAAAATTAGCTGAGTGTGGTGGTGGGCACCAGTAATTCCAGCTCCTTGGGAGGCTGAGGCAGGAAAATCACTTAAACCCAGGAGGCAGGGGTTGCAGCTAGCTGAGATCACATCATGGCACTCCTGGCAACAAGAGCGAAACTCCGTCTCAAAAAAAAAAAAAAAAAAAAAAAAAAAAAAAAAAAAAAAAAAAAAAAAAAAATCAAAAAAAAAAAAAAAAAAAAAAAGAAAGAAAATACATGATTATGCATTCACAATGCTGTGGCCACATTGAGGCCTCCTGACAGGAAGGGAAATGGCAAGAAGAGGAAGTTGCAGTGGAGAGATAGTGAGCTTGACCAGCTCCAGCTACAATGTCCAGAATTTTTAAGTTTTACAAAAACATATGACCACGTGAACACACTGCTTGGGCAGCTCCCGTGACTTGGGGTGTGGGGGCTGGTAGCTACCAGAGCTGAGAACTGAAACCGAAGTGTTCAACAATGGTTTCTTCCTGAACCAGGTGAGCAGCGGGAGTCCCCCCGGCCCAGGCCTCAGTGCTCAGACCTCTCCTCTGGCTTCGTACCCCTGTCTGCCTGTCTCCAGATCACTTTTTCACTGCACTGTGATTGCTCCTGTTCTCCAGACCTGAGCTTTCTGAGTGATGTGCTAAGAGGGGGAGAGATCTGCCTCAGATACCAGCTGCCAGGGGCTGGGGTAACTGAGCCCCTGAACTGGTCACCTGTTTTTCTGTTTATAATTTTATTTATGTATTTTTTTAAGTTAAATAATCTTGTAGAAGAGATATATATATATTTTTTAATTCTTTTAGCATTCTGTACACTGACAAGAGGTAAAAGAAAATGACTGAAACTTAAATGTGAAAGAACACTTCACAATTAAATCCACAATTGTAAACATTTATCTTACGTCAGTGAAAAATCACCAATTATTATAAAAACAGGACAAATTACATCACAAAAGAAGCAAAAATTAGAAAAAAAATTCATAAAAAAATATATCCAACTATGAAAAGTGTTGCTCTCTTGGTGTCTTCACGTCCTTCTCTTCTGTGTACTGATGTACAACACATTGTTTCCTCGGATAAATGCGTCTCCATACTTATTCTTCAGTTGTCCATTTACATATTCCTCTGTCTGCTCCAGGGCTATATTCATGTAGCCATCCAGGCAAGCCAGCACCCCTCGATAATCCACTCCAGAATTTAATTTTACCACAACTGGTCGTCCGATGATTTGCTTTAAGAAGACACTAGGGGTTTGCTTCCGAAGACTCATTTTAACAATCTTGGGACGCAGGAAACCTCAGTTCTAATCCCAGCTCTGCTACTTAATTAGCTGTGTGACTTGGATAACTCATCTCACCTCTCATGGCCCCAGGTTTCTCATCTCCCCGGTGGGATCCAGAACCCTCACTACAGGTACCCCAAGAGTCCGGCCTCCGCGGACTTCATCGAATCGAAGCCGAAACCTCCGAGGCCTTATTTGTGTATTTTTTAGTGGAGACGGGGTTTTACCATGTTGGCCAGGATGGTCTGGTTCTCTTGGCCTCATGATTCGCCTGCCTCAGTCTCCCAAAGTGCTGGGATTACAGGCGTGAGCCACTATGCCTGGCCTATTCATTTATTTTTGAGACAGGGTCTTGCCCTGTCGCCCAGGCTGGACTGCAGTGACATGATCTTGGCTCATTTCAGCCTCCGCCTCCCAAGTTCAAGGGATTCTCGTGTCTCAGCCTCCCGAATAGCTGGGACTATAGGTGTGTGCCACCCAGGCTGGCTAAATTTTGTATTTTTAGTAGAGACAGGGTTTCACCATGTTGCCCAGGCTGGTGTCAAACTCCTGACCTCAAGTGATCTGCCCACCTCAGCTTCCCAAAAGTGTTAGGATTACAGGTGTGAGCCACCGTGCCCAGCCCTGGTCACCTCTTGACCCCCAATAAGATTAATCTGTTTGCCCCAGTGAGCCAAACAAATACCATTTTCTCTGACCAAATCACTTTTTATGTGTGCCATGACATAAAAAAGTTTGGCAGGCCGGGCATGGTGGCTCATGCCTATAATTTCAGCACTTTGGGAGGCCGAGGTGGGCAGATCATGAGGTTAGGAGTTCAAGACCAGCCTGACCAACACGGTGAAACCCCATCTCTTCTAAAAATACAAAAATTAGCCAGGCGTGGTGGCATGCACCTGTAATCCCAGCTACTCAGGAGGCTGAGGCAGGAGAATTGCTTGAACTCGGGAAGCAGAGGTTGCAGTGAGCTGAGATTGCGCCACCGCACTCCAGCCTGGGTGACAGAGGAAGACTCTGTCTCAAAAAAGATTGGCAGGTCCGTAGAGGTGGCGAGGTGACGTGGTGGCACATGCCTGTAATCCCAGAATTTTGGGAGATTGAGGCAGGAGGCTTGCTTCAGCCCAGGAGTTTGAGACCAGCCTGGGCAACATAGTAAGACCCTGTCTCTAAAACTTAGAAAAACAAACAAACAAAATAAGGTTGGCAGCATTTACCAGACAGTGGCTATTTTTCCTTACCTTGACCCATAGTGAAAATATACATGGCTTGAGCCCAGGAGATTGAGATCAGCCTGGGTGACAGAGGGAAGCCCTGTCTCACATTGTCACTCGGGCTGGAGTGGTGCAATCATGGCGCACTGCACCTTCAGCCTCCTGGGCGTGAGCAATCTTCTTACCTCTGCCTCCTGAGTAGTTGGGACTACAAGCGCACGTCACCAGGCCTGCCTAGTTTTTAAATTTTTTTGTAGAGATGGGGTCCCATTATGTTGCCCAGGCTGGTCTTGAATTCCTGGCATCAAGCAGTGGTCCTGCCTCAGCCTCCCAAGTAGCTGATTACAGGCCATATCATCACCACATGCTGCTTAATTTGTATTTTGTAGTGTGATATATTCTGAAACTTTCTATTATATTTTGCCATCTTAAAAAATTTCTGGCCGGGCGCGGTGGCTCAAGCCTGTAATCCCAGCACTTTGGGAGGCCGAGGCAGGTGGATCACGAGGTCAAGAGATCGAGACCATCCTGGTCAACATGGTGAAACCCCGTCTCTACTAAAAATACAAAAAATTAGCTGGGCATGGTGGCGCGTGCCTGTAATCCCAGCTACTCAGGAGGCTGAGGCAGGAGAATTGCATGAACCAAGGAGGCGGAGGTTGCGGTGAGCCGAGATCGTGCCATTGCACTCCAGCCTGGGTAACAAGAGCGAAACTCCGTCTCAAAAACAAAACAAAAAAAAAAATTTCTGCAAGGGCTGGGCGTGGTGGCTCGTGCCTGTAATCCCAGCCCTTTGGGAGGCCGAGGCCGGTGGACCACCTGAGTTCAGGAGTTCAAGACCAGCCTGGCCAACATGGTGAAACCCCATCTGTACAAAAATACATAAATTATCTGGGCATGGTGGCGCAGCACCTGCAATCCCAGCTACACGGGAGGCTGAGGCAGGAGAATTGCTTGAACCTGGGAGGCGGAGGTTGCAATGAGTTGAGATTGAGCCATTGGAATCCAGCCTGGGCAAAAAGAGCAAAACTCCGTCTCAAAAAAAAAAAAAAGAAAAATTGCTTCCGGCATGGTGGCTCACAGTAGACGCTTGAGGTCAGGAGTTTGAAACCAGCCGGGCCAACATGATAAAGCCCCATCTCTACTAAAAATACAAAAAATTAGCCAGGCTTGGTGGAGCGCACCTGTGGTCCCAGCTATTCAGTAGGCTGAGGTGGAAGGATTGCTTCAGACCCACAGGCAGAGGTTGCAGTGAGCTGAGATCGCACCACTGCACTCCAGCCTGGCTGACAGAGTGAGACCCCATCTCAAAAAACAAAACAAACAAAACAAAACAAAAACAACAATAAAACAGAGGCCTGAAAGAGAAGCCCCAGAGAACTATCACCCAGCCTTCTGAGGAGGGGGTACGGGCCGGCTGGTGCTGCTGCCTGTGCCTCTGAAGGGAGCTCAGGGTAGCTGGTTCTGCAAGGATTGGAAAAAGTCGAAACTGGATTCAGCTGCTGCTAACGAACTGCAGCTGCCCGGGTGAAGATGCTTTCCTGGGTAAAACGCAGGCAAAACTAGTGAGCAGACGGGAAGCAGAGGCCTGCTCCAGCCCTGCATCTCCTTCTAGCGCCCCCTGGTGGAAGAGCCTGGCAGGGAGCAGCGGGCAATGGAGAAATGTAGCTCTGGGCGGGGTGGCTCACGCCTGTAATCACAGCAGTTTGGGAGATCGAGGCAGGTGGATCACCTGAGGTCAGGAGTTCGAGACCAGCCATGGGAAACATGGTGAAACCCTGTCGCTACTAAAAATACAAAAATTGACAGGGCGCAGTGGCTCACACCTGTAATCCCAGCATTTTGGGAGGCCGAGGTGGGTAGATCACAAGGTCAAGAGATTGAGACCAGCCTGGCCAACATGGTGAAACTCCGTCTTTACTAAAAATACAAAAACTGGCTGGGTGTGGTGGTGCACCCTTGTGGTCCCAGCTACTCGGGAGGCTGAGGCAGGAGAATCGCTTGAACCCAAGAGGTGGAGGTTGCGATAAGCTGAGATTGTACTACTGCACTCCAGCCTGACGACAGAGCAAGACTTCATCTCAAAAAAAAGAAAGAAAGAAAATTATCCAGGCATGGTGGCGTGTGCCTGTAGTCCCAGCCACTTGGGAAGCTGAGGCAAGAGAATCATTGGAACCCGGAAGGCGGGTTGCAGGGTGCCAAAATTGCACCACTACACGCCAGCCTGAGCAACAGAGCAAGACTCCATCTCAAAAGTAATAATAAAAATAAAATTAAAAAGAAAAAAAAAAACAAAGAAATGTGGCACTGAGTCCCAGCCAGACCATGAGGCTGAGTTGGGTGGGTGGATGCGTGTTATGAGTTGAGTTCTGTCCTCCCCCAGATTCACATGTTGAAGTCCGGACCGGCACCACCTCAGAAAGTGACCTTATTTGGAAATAGGCTTGTTGAAGACATCATTAGTTAAGATGAGGTCATTAGGGTAGGCCCTAAATCCAGTGTGACTGGTGCCCTTGTAAGAAGAACAGGAAACTTGGACACAGACTCACACACAGGGAGAGGGCGGTGCAGAGAGGGAGGCAGAGAGCTACCAGTCACGGATTGCTACATATTGTCAACAAGCCACCAGAAGCAAGGAGAGCTGGAGGGGATGGATTGGCTGTCACAGCCTCAGAAGGATTCGACCCTGCCGGCACCATGATTCCAGACCTCCAGACAATACTTTTGGATGGTTTAAGCCACCTAGTTTGCGGCATTTTGTTACAACAGCCCTAGCGCATTAATACGGCAGGTTTGGAGCTGAGAGTCAAGAATTTGGCATCATCCACAAACTGCACTTGGCCTGGGGGAGTAGGGCCTCAGCTGCAGCTAGAAGCACTTGGGCTTGAGTGGTGGGCATCTCAGCAGCAGCCCCCGTAGAGAGCCGACTAGACGCTCTCCCATCTGTGGCCCGGTGCGGTGGCTCACGCCTGTAATTCCAGCACCTGGGAGGCCAAGGAAGGGATCACTTGAGGCCAGGAGTTCCAGACCAGCCTGGCCAATATGGTGAAACCTCATCTCTATCAAAAATAAAAAATTAGCCGGGCACGGCGGGCGCCTGTAATCCCAGCTACTCTGGAGGCTGAGGCAGGAGAATCACTTAGAACCCGGTAGGTGGAGGTTGTAGTGAGCCGAGACTGTGCACAGAGAGAAACTCCATCTCAAATAATAATAATGATTAGCCGGGCGCGGTGGCTCAAGCCTGTAATCCCAGCACTTTGGGAGGCCGAGGCAGGTGGATCACGAGGTCAAGAGATCGAGACCATCCTGGTCAACATGGTGAAACCCCGTCTC